CACCCCCTTGGGCCCGGGCATGGGTGCTAGTCTCGGTGGACTGGGACGTGGAGTACATGGACAGCTTGTTGCAAGCCCTGTCCACGGGAGTATCAGATCACGCACCCTTACATCTCACTACTAGTGTGTCGTTCCATCACAAAAACCGCTTTCATTTTGAGTTGTATTGGAAAGTTGGATGGATTCTGGGATGCCATCAGGGAAGCTTGGCGCTGCGATGATAAAATTACCGACCCATATAAGAGACTTGACGCATTATTTCGCAATGCGGGTGCTGCGCTCAAGCTTGGGGACAAAAGAAAACCGGAAACGTCAAACTTCAAATGGCAGTAGAGACGTGGGTGATCTACAGACTGGACAAAGCGCGGGACGCTAGATATCTTCTGGACATGGAATTTTCGCTTCGATGCACTCTCAAGCTAACACTACTAGGACTGGCGTCCTTGGAGAGGACTATGATAGACAAGGATCTCACTTCCGATGGCTTAAGGAAGGTGACGCGAACACTAAGTTTTTTCAGGCTGTGGCGAATGGCAGAAGAGCAAAGAACTTCATTCCTCACATAAAGCACGGGGAAGAGATAGTCACAGAACAAAATAGGATGGAGGAGATCTCCTCGGACACTTTCCAAGATCTGATCGGCACAACGCACGCAAGGAATCATTCACTAGACCTGAATTTCCTAGGACTCACAACGGTTCACATGGAAGACGTCTTTACAGAGGAAGAGGTGTGGTCTATTATCAAGGAACTGCACCCAGACCGTTCACCGGGCCCAGATGGCTTCATTGGGAAGTTCTATCAATGCGCGTGGCCCGTCATTAAGAATGAATTATGGCAGCACTCCTAAAACTGTTTGTTGGAGATGGAAGAGGTTTTGCCAAGCTTAATCGGGCCCTTATTGTGCTTATCCCTAAGAAGCCGGATGCTGAGTGCATGGGTGACTACCGGTCGATCAGCTTACCCCATAACATGTCAAAGCTATTCGCTAAGATGTTGGCTAACAGAATGAGACCGCACATGAAGCAACTGGTAGCTTTCAATCAATCGGCTTTTATCAAGGAACGAAGCTTGCATGACAACTTTCTCCTGGTATGACAGGTAGCCAGAAAGATTTATGAGAGGAAGTGCAAAGGTGTTTTTCTCAAGCTTGATATCTCTCACACATTTGATTCGCTATCCTGTCCATTCTTGGTCGAAGTTCTTAGAGAAAAAGGTTTCGGGCCAAGATGGATCACTTGGTTGTCCATCTTGTTGCAAACGGCAACCACGCGAATCTTGGTCAATGGCGTCCTAGGAAGAAGAATCATGCATGCCCAAGGCCTACGCCAAGGTGATCCAGTCTCGCCGTTGTTATTTGTCATTGCTATGGATGCTTTGACGACCCTCATCAGGAAAGCCCTAGAGGCTGGGGTACTGAGTGACTTCCGAGTCATCATGGCAGGTCAGAGCATATCCATTTATGTTGATGATGTTGCTTTCTTCATACGCCCCACGAGACTAGATTTGTGTTTTGTCAGAGAGGCCTTGAGAGCTTTTGAAGAAGCTTCTGGACTATGAGTAAACTACCAAAAATCTTCAGCGACGGCGATCAGAGGAGTGCAGGATAACAAGGACAGAGTTGCAGAGATGTTGGAATGCCCCATAGCTGAGTTCCCTTGTCACTACCTAGGCCTCCAGCTTGCCATCCGGCAGCTGTCAAGGGAAGACTAGCAGCCCCTCATCGACATGGTAGGGAAGTTTATACCTACTTGGCAAAGGGGCTTCATTCAGAGATCTGGATGACTTGTGCTTGTCAAATCCATGATCTCGGCTAGATCAGTTCATCAGCTTCTGGTTCTGGATGCGCCAGATTGGGTGTGCGACGAAATAAACGCTTGGATGCATTCCTTCTTCTGGGCGGGCAAAGACAAGACGAATGGAGGGCAATGCCTAGTGGCATGGAATACCATATGTAGGCCAACCTATTACTGTGGACTAGGCATCAAGAACCTTAAACTGCAAGCTTTGGCTTTGAGAGTCCGATGGGAATGGCTACGGAGAACAGATCGGGAGAGGCCATGGCAGGGTCTGGCTCTCATGATGGACAATGAGGCACGCACAGTTTTTGACAGTTTAGTTGCCATCACAGTGGGAAAAGACAACATGGTCTTGTTCTGGAGGATCGTTGGATCCACGACTTCTTGATCACAAACATTGCGCCAAATGTGGCTAACATGGTTGACACGCGCGTTGTTAACCACAGAACGGTGGAGCAGGCTATGGAGGATGGCCGATGTCTACACGATGTTCATGGAGACCTCTCTTTCATGGCTTTGATCCAGATCATGCATCTACGACATGCGATCGCAACTGTGCAGCGTGATCCTCTCGTTGACGATACTTTCACTTGGCCATGCGCTGAGGAGGGAGGAGCATACACTGCCAAGTCCACCTATGTGAGGCTCTGTTATTGCCTAACCCACGTACCAGCCGCTGCCTGCCTATGGAGATTCTATGCATCGCTTAAGCAGAAAATATTTGCATGACTCGCCACACAACACAGGTTATGGAACTCCGATTGTAGGGTGCGTCATGGTCTACAAGATGAGCCCTCGGCTTGCTTCACCTGCTTGCAAAACCAAGACAGCGTTGAGCACATTTTGATCAAGTGTGTCTGCGCCCGGGAAGTGTGGCATCGGTGCTTTGATAGACTGCATCTTCCCGCACAAATGCCATCGGAGATGGACACATTCTTAGATTGGTGGCTCCAGCAACGTAGCAACTTCCAAAAGTAGGACAGGAGGGGGTTTGATGGCTTAGTCATTTGTACAACTTGGTCTCTTTGGAAGCAAGGTAACGTTAGGGTATTCAATAGGCCAGAGCAACAACTCTGAGCCCTAGAGCTCACCACACACATCATGAATGAGCTCGCAGATTGGAGCACGGAGTAGGAGGCTGACACCGTTTTGTGAGAGAGTAGCTGTAGTGATCTTGGTTGTGGGTGCCCCGGCATGGTTTTTCGCATCCATGCATGGCATCTTGTAATTTGTTTTCTCCCTTCTATAGAAATACGGTATGCAATTGTGTACTCTAAAAAAAGTCATATTATCTATAGGTCGTTAGATGGGTCTGATCTTGTAGGTAGGCGTCATTGAATGAGCCTGGTGTGAACCTTAGAAAATGGTGTATTCATGCGGGGGCGTACATCGAGCACATTGGGCGAGCCATATGCATACACGTTTTGGTATGTCTGACATTAGGCTGGCCCGCTGTCAGGAATGGGCGTGACCTGACTCGGACCACTGGTACATGATTCTTGGAGAACCTAGACCATTGTCCAGAATTTTCTTTCGGATGCACTCCGCAAAAAAGGTAAAAATCGCAAAGGAGAGAGTGGATTCGTTTAGTGGCGGCGACGCGCGCCAACGTCATGGGCGTCACCGGTGATTTCTCCCTGGATCTTGCGTGCAGGTCCGTGTTGCGTACCCCTGTCCATCTCCCTCGTTCAATAGGTAAATCTCTCGTGAAGCTTAGCAAAAATGGTTTGCTTTCCTTCTGCAGCTTACCGATTTTACAGTCGGGTGCATCGCCTCGTGGCTCTGTTCATGATGAGGG